AGTACTGTACTGTACAAATGAATATCAAATTTAATTTAAGTATAAGTTAACTTTGCAATAGAAAGATGTGTATAAGAGACAGGTATACATCTAACTTTACTGTACTGTACTAGGCTTTGAAATTTATTTTTAATTGTGCTGTCTATGGGAATTTTCCAAAATAAAAGGTACATTGAACTATGATGAATGACCATCTAAAAATTTGAAGGAAGTCTTTCTTTGAACACACATTTGTGTTTTGCATATAACAGCACTGTAAGTGACCAATCAGAATTATTCAACTATTTGCCCAAAGACCAGTCTCTAGAAGTCAAATCAATGAAGGACAGTTATCAAGAAGCATGCATTCCATTGGCTAGTACATCATTCCTACGAGAAAATTACGTCAACTTTTTCAACACCATACGGATTGGACGCATTCTGGAGGATCTTGATACGTTTGCTGGTATTATAAATTTTTCCCAGTTCTAATTTAATTTGTTGAAATTATGTTTTGTATAATAATAATAATATATTTTTCTTCAGAAGAGCTGCTCTTGTAAATATTTTTGACTTTCAAATGTAAAAGAACTGTGCCTCAGTTTTAGATTTGTGAATTTATGATTAAAAATAATGCCACTATCTTTTTTCCTTCATAGTTTGGATTAGTTATCAACACAACAAGAGGACGGGGGAAACACAGTCACCTTTGGTGATGGTGACAGCATCGGTAGACCGTATAGGTCAGTGTAATGTTATAGGGATAGGAGGAATGGGCTGAAGGGCTTCATCCCCCCGCCAAACACATTTCAGTTTGGACACATAAATTTAGGCCTATGGGAACCATGCCTTAAATTAAATGACTACCTTGTTCGGAGACTGCTGCCGGCACCTAGTCAAAAACCACCAATTGCTATAAGAGGGCTTATAAAAAAAATCATACAAATTAGTCTTCCAGAGAACCATTCAATCTAATTAATAAGCAGCATTTTATTTTTAGATCTGGATAGCACTGAAATGTCTGCAGACCATGACATAAAGATGACAGGTAATGTTACCTGGACAGGTAGATCATCAATGCAGGTATCCATGAATCTGATGCAGGTGAGAAATTTAGTGATGCAATAATACATTTCCATAATATGATTATTTAATCAATCAATTAATTAATGTTAATAAATTTATTTATGCATATGGGAAAAGGAAATGCCAAACAGTATACTTTCAGTGACTTTTCTAAGTGGCAATATTTTCACAAGGTACTCTATACAGATTAATCCTCATTTTAGGGAGTTCAGTTGTTTGTCGTAGTGAGAAAAATCCTGTTAACAAACGTAACCTTAGATCCTGGAATTGAAAGACAAACATCTTATCCACCAAGCCATTCAACTCCACTCCAAAAATAGCAATGTTAAAATAAATGATTGTTAAACTGATTTATAGTGGGGTTAATTGACCCTGTCAAGCCTTTGTTGTTTGGCTTTATCTGTTCATAAATAAATATGTTAATTTCAGGTGCAGGATGGAGTTATGCGAAATAAATTGAATGCAGTCTTTCTAATGGTTGCAAGAGATCCTGCCAATAAAGGGTAAAGAAGCTATATAGCTTTAATAATTGTTATTATTATTATTATTGTTGTTATTATTATACTGTTATTTTAAATGTTATCATTATGCACATTCTTAATAATGTTTAATATATTATGGTTGTTAAATATTTGTGATAGATAGGAATTTGTTAAGCCTGTGAAAGCTGAAACGTCTGAAGAAGAAGTAATCTTAATGGAAGTTGTTATTATTATTATTGTTATTATTATACTGTTATTTTAATTGTTATAATTATGCACACTCTTAATAATAATGTTTAATATATTATGGTTATTAAATATTTGTGATAGGTCGGCATTTGTTAATCCAGTGAAAGCTGAAACGCCTGAAGAAGAAGTAATCTTAATGGAAGGCAAGGCTCTCACACAAAAGAGAAAAGAACAAAGTCAACAGTCTCTCCTTAAAGTAGCCCCCAGTGTTGAAGAGAGCACCCTCATACATCAGTTATTCAGCAACTCTCTTAGTAAGCAGTAAGTAATTAGATAATACAGTACTATGTTAGTATCCTATATTCAGAACAGATTTCCCCACCAAAAAAAAAAACAAAAACAGGAATCAAACAACTATGTTTAAAGATATAGAAAGAGCAGTAAACCTGAAGAACAATAAACTTGGGTGGGGTGGGAAAATTACCTTTGGAGAATTTTAACTTGTACAATATAAAGATAAACAGAATGTAAAGTATAATAGTATTCATCTTTACTCCTCATTAAAATATTTTTTTTTCTTAATAGGACGGTTTCATTTTCTATTCGTGAGAAACCAGAAAACACTGTTTGGATGGAAGATGCAAAACTTAAGAACGTTATAATCTGTTTTCCAGAGGTAAATTTATTGTTATTGATAATATAATTATAATTTTCAGTATGTATTCATTTTAAATTAATTTTCAAATGTATATACGAGTCTACAGTGCTTTTCGTTTATCAAAAACAATATAAATATATATCAGTGCCATTATTATTAGTGTATCGTAATATCTTTTTCTATATTATTATTATCACTATTATTACCTTTCTTATCATATAGTTATTATTTCAGAATCTTTATTTGCAAATTGAAATCTATCTTATTTTTTTAACAGCAAAGAAATATTTACAACAAAATATTTGGAGGTTATTTGATGAGGAAAGCAAATGAAATTGCATACGCAGTGGCGTTGGTTCACAGGTTTGGTATAGTGTGGTATCACAGATCCTCTGAATTTGTGGTGGTATGAATGATGTGATAAAGTTCAGTATGGAATAGTACAAAGTGTTATGATGATGTGCTATGGTACGTTGTAGTTTTGTGGTGATGTTATAAAGTGTGGTACAAAATGGTATGATAAGGTATGATGGTTTGGTAATGGTAATGTACATTGTAGTTTTGGTATGGTGATGTATAGGTAATTATGGTTTGGTAAAACCGTACACACATTATGCTTTCCCAACTTTTATATTTAAGAATTTTAGGCTCTATTCTCATATTATTCATAGAGTAAACTATTATTATTTTTGAGCCAGAGAAACTATCCATTTATGCCATTAAACTACTATATTTGGTTTTTTTTCCAGCCAATCAAAGGTGATCTTTCGATGTATTGATAACATCACATTTCAACGGCCGGTTGAAGTTGGTTCTTTGCTCTACTTGTCGTCTCGGGTAAAATCATAATATTAAAGATTAGTTATTCACTAAATTTATTAGGTGCATAATACACACACCCATATAT